TAGTATACCAGAACAGTATTATGTGGTGTGCCCCGCCACAGTGCATATCACACTGAAGTATACCAAACCATAGTATACCAGAACAGTATTATGTGGTGTGCCCCGCCACAGTGCATATCACACTGAAGTATACCAAACCATAGTATAACAGAAAAGTATTATGTGGTGTGCTCCGCTACAGTGCATATCACACTGAAGTATACCAAACCATGAGCCATAACTAATCTCTCTTCGCGGTGAAGGAAGATGACAAATGACAACTATGGTAATCAAATTGTCCTTTGGGCCCCAATAAGCGTTGGGCTGGCCCTGGCTGGAAGGATGACAGATGGATGGATGGACAGATGCAAAGCTTGAAAGACGTGTAAATGTGGAATATATACCGGTGTCCTTGAATTTTTCTGTATGGGTTCTGCGGTTTGCTGCTGGGGGTGGAATAACAGGAGGGTATTTCCGTGTGAGCTGCCCCCACCTCACCTGGGACCAAGCGCTATAGTGCCAGCCCTGCAGCAAGCAGTCGCCGTGGCAGGGTTCCCGCGAGGGCGGCTTGGGCATCTCGCCACAGGCTACAGGCTCCGCCCACTCACTGCGCTCCGCCAGCCGGCTGTATTTTACGCACTGGACGTCCAGGGTGCGGTGACCCGGGCCGCACCTCACTGAGCACTCGCTTCTGCCTGCCACGTGCCACCTGCGGACAATCAACACGCTCTGACCTGACGGATGTAGCTGGACGCTGCGTCGGCTCAGTGTTCCTGGTAGACACAACTTTTGGCCACTAGGTGGCGCTCACCTGAGTTCACAGTGAGTGTTGCATGGCTCGCTGATGGGGTCAGGCTGGGGTAGCTGGTGACATCGCTGGTCTGATGCCACCTGGTGGTCGCTCTTCCGTATGCACATCACTTTGCGTCTCCTCTCACCTTTGGGCCAAAAGTTAAAGTTGGACAACATTTTGCTCATTAAAGTCTACAAAGCAGTCCTGTACACAAAAAAAAAACCTTCTAGTAATTTTAGGCTGATTACTAGGATATGTGATCTACATTGTTGTATTCATCTGGGCAGGATGTAAATTGTAACCAGCATGAGGTTTAAATTAAGCCCGTGTGAGCCTTGAATAAGGTCTACATAAACTTTGAATTACGAGCCCTGAAAAAAATTCTATGGGAACCATGAATGGATTCCCAGTGGGAAACGTGATAACGTGAACCTCGAATAAGACCTGTGGAACCCTTGAATGAGCTGAACATGAACCTTCAACAAGATGTGTGAAGCCCTTGAATGAGACTGCGTTCTCCCCATACAGTAAAGCTTTAGCCTCTGGTCTGACAGGCTCACACCTAAGCGGTACCACTGAGAGCGCTCATGCACTGCAGTAACAGCTGCTCTGGGCTTTACCCCTCTGCTAGGTTCCACCGTTCCAGTTCTCCTCAGTCACAGGATGTGGCAAAATGGCCGACAGCATTAAGACAACATACCATCCATTCACAAAGGCAGATGAGGAACCTGCTTTATGAGCCAATGGATCAGCCATGAAAGTCAATGTGGCCACCATACCCTGACAAACCCGGCTGCAGTCCTGCCACGATCCAGAAGTGCTCCAGACAAACTTCTCCAGTCTCTCCTCGACGGGGATGTTGTAGGAGTATCGCACGTCTGGGTTGTACAGGTTCCCAACGCACAGCACCTGGGCCCAGAACAAACACAGCTATCTGGCTGTTTGGGTTTGAGGTTCCCCGCCTGAGGTTCCAGCCCCAGAACCCCATCCTGAGCCAACCTGAAGCACAAGCTCCTCCTCGATCCTATCGGTGCAGTTAATGCGCTCCACTACGGCGTCCGAGCCGCTGTACTCGATGACGGCCCCCTTGACCGTCACCTCCCGCTTAAACATGGCCACCACAAAATTCCCGTTCAGGATAAAGTTGGACTGGCTGTCAGATAAAGCTGTTTGGGGGGAGAAAAAAAGAAAACGAAACATAACTGAAATGTAAGAGGTATGCTTTAATGTATTATTTTAACTAATCAATCATAATTTTTTTTATCAAAGCAATGATATAAGCAATGTTGTTTGGATAAACAGACAATTTTTAAAACTGTAATTTAAAAATTAGAAAAATATTATGTATCAGGCACGTATCAGACACTCCCTAGTCGATCACGTTTTGTAACAGGTCCCCCACACACATAGGAACGCATAGGGGGCGGGACCACAGGGACATTGGCTCTGCTGAAAGCTGATTGGCCCCCCAAGCGCTCCATCCCCTGTCACTCAATGAGTCAAAACATTTCATTGGCCAAGATCAGCCCCTTTGTATGAATTCTGCTTACCAAGGTAGTTGTCATCCTCTGGTTTTCCCGAGTAACTGACTTGCGTTATGTCGATGTTGGTGGCCCCGGCAGGGATTCGCACAATGATATTATAGCCTAGAAAAAAAAAAGCACCCAGAGCAGCACACCGAGAATTACAACAGCCATTCTTTCGGAATAATCCAGAGATCATTCATCTATCAAGACAGAGGGAAAAGCCTGAGATATATAAAAAATCCAGTGTGACATATATTATATGATTCTCCATTATTCATATTTACCACCTAATAGGAAGGACAGGAGAAGTGGTAGTAAAATAGGAAGGGCCACTAGGGGGCAGACAGTGTAAATGTTACAGCTCATGTCTGTCACCTGTCAGTGACCCAAAGTTCTACCCTAACTAACAGAGAAATCAGAGACATAATTCTTTTGACAGGGCATGAATCGATCACCACCTTCTACAAAGCTACAAGCTGTGTGATATTCACAGTGCAGTGTTTGCGAGCGGCCCCTAATATAACCTTCAAATTACAGGAGGTCAGGCTCTCGATGTGCCCGCCCCCCCCTACAGGGCCACACCTACAAGCTCAGAGATCAGGTACAGTACAAGCTTTCCAGCACGGCTGGACCAGCTGCTGTTCACAATCCAATCGATTCAAAGCTGACCACATATGGCTTCTTTTTAGACGCATAGAAATGAAATACCCCATTTTTATTTGGTACTTTCCTACTTTTTCACCCCGTTTTGAGTCTACAGTCTTTTGGACAAAGATCAAGGTGAATGAAGTGAATTTGAGAGAGCTGACTCTCACATCACAACATGGAGACTAATTATTGCATTTCAAGAGAGGTTAGATTTGTGAAACAATTATAAAAATAAAATCGCCAAGCAGTGAGCACAGCGTGAGCCCAGAAGAACCCATATGACTCTGAAATCTCCACGTTAATCTACGCAACTTAATGCAACTGCACACTTCAAACTACGCTTTCCCTCCAAAATCCCACAGAAAACATTTGCGGATCAGGCCTGTCCCAGTCAAGCAGCTTAACGTTAACCCGTACAGAAAACTTGCTACTACAGCTACCATCAACGTGACTGATTTCTGGAACCATTTAGCCTGCCTCTGATCCCTGCGCATCATCGTAATCAGAGATAATGTGGTTGTCAATTCACATCTAGCCATACAGTAACCGTACATGTCATTTCCGTCCTTTTCGGGTCCAAAAACACAGCGGGTTGGATGAGGGGAGGATGATCTGCTCAGATCCTTAATTAGAAGACAGATTGCAGTTGACCGAGATGCCTCTCCGTAAGTCTTGTGTGACAGGGGAGTTAGCTCAGATGGTAGCAGAGCAAGACTCTCACAGCTAGGCCCCATTCACGGCACTGCTGACAAGGCTAAAGGCTAAAGCTAACCATGCAAATGAAAGGCAAAAAACAAAGCATTCTGGGAAATTCGGAAAATATTTTCCAGTGCTTAAGCAGGGTAGTGTAGCAACAGGCTAATGCTAACCCTGTTACATGAAAGAGAAAAACAAAAAATCCTGGGTGAATGTTTGTTGGTACCTCTGACTGGTTTAACATGTGATTGTCGTGTGGATAGTTTAGGTCCGTGAGCATATTGTGAAATAGTTACAGAACTTCAGGCTTTCAGGGGATGTTCTTATCGCCTTGTACGCACCTTGTCTCTCAGCGTTAATCAAAAGCCTAAGGACGCTCTTGGCGTTCAGCACGAGCTCATTAATTCTGCGGCACGAACGCGGACGTGCTTCCCCGGCGCTCACCATACTGGGCGTCGTCGAAGGTCCCGCTCACGGCCCGGCAGGACGAGTTGTCTCCACCGCACACTCCACATCTGTCGTGCTTTGCTTTGGAGTTCAGCACGTGGTCACAGCCTGCTTGCTGAGGAAAAATAAAACTGAGGCATGAGATCCAAATAGCAGGCTGTCAGCGGAAGGCCGTGATCAGAGCGCGCATTCGGACTGGGGTTAGGGGGTAACATAAATAAAACACAATGCTGAGTGCATTACGGTATGTAATGCGAAGTACAGCGAACATAACTGCTTTCGGAGAAACTGTCTCTTCATATCAGTCTGATAGCATTAGGAACATTAGGAAAGCAATAAATGAAGAAGAAGAGACCCGTTTGGGCTGTATAACTGATAACGCCACTTTAGACCTAGAATGGTGGTTCTCAAACTGTGTACATGCACCACCCGTGGTACCCTTAGCGCCCCCTGTTGGTAACAATTCAAATTTGTTAGTGTTATTTTTTCCATGTGTGATATTTTGGCTACTTTGATTTAATTTGAATTGGTACCCAGTCCAAAAATCTTGAGAAGCACTGACCTTGAGCGTGAAACTAATCCGTAAAAGTTAATGCAGCTACAGTAGGCTTTACGCGGAAATGTGTGACGGCTGCTGGTCTCCAGTTACCCTGCACAGGCCCTGTACGCAGATGTCACTGGTGTCGGGGTCGCATGGCGTGCCGTCGATGACGCGGTCCTTCAGCTGGTAGTAGGCCGTCTTCCCCGCCACCCTGCAGAAGAGCTTACACCGGTCCTTAACGAGAACTGCGGAGGGAGTCAGACAGAGAGACGTCTCACGCTTAAACACCGCAGCAATTTCCCTGCGGTTCAGAAGTTTGGAGCACTTCTGGATCGTGGCAGGACTGCAGCCGGGTTTGTCAGGGTATAGTGGCCACATTGACCTTCTTGGCTGATCCATTGGCTTGACCATTGGCAGTTTTCAAAGGACTTACTACTAAATTATTAAAATACATGTAGCTTCCTGTTGGCTTGTATTCACTGTCAATTATGATGATTTAAGTCTTGTCATCTTCCTCATGCTTGTCCCTGCGGCCACCAGGCTGAGCTAATATCAACAGAGATGCGCATGGAATCCTCTTTCTCGTAATAAAGCCTGGAAAATATCCTCACTTACTGTATCACACACCGGGCAGCTTATCACACCCTGGACTTGAAAATGCTCACTTTGGGGAAAAAAAAAATAATAAATCCCTTACTCCCAGCTCCCAGCCAATCAGAAACACCAAATACTTGGTACAGGTATGTTGGGAGTGAGCGAACGTGTGGACTGTCTGGGACTTGCAGAGGACTAGGCTGAGAAACGCTGGCCCCATGGCTCCCTGTTCAGAGCGGAGGTAAATGACAGGTAGGCGACTCACTTCCGCTGTACTTGGGCAGCCAGCGGACGCTGGGCAGCAGGCCGTTGATGTTGAAATGGCGGCCATCAAACTGGGCACACTGCTCCTCGCGGAAGTCTCTGCGGTCGCGGGGGCAAGGATCTGTGCTACAGGAACGGAACTTCATCCTGCGGCCCACGCAGAAGCGACCCCCGTTCCTGGGCCTGAAAGGACAGGATTGGAAGCAACGTCTGGAACAACTGAAGAGCAAAAGTCCAAAGCTGATTTAGTCCATGGGACACGTTTACGAGACTGAGGGAGTTTAGGAAATTTAAGAAAAGTTCTTTGTTGGATTATATACAGTAAGACTATGTGAGTAACATATGACAAGGAAGCCTGACTTCAGGTCATTGGCTCATCTCAAAAATAATTAAAAAAAAAAAAAAGAGTTTTGGAAATTTGCATTGATGACCTGGTCCAATTCTGGAAAATTCTGAAGCATTAGGATGTTACCAATAACAGGGTTGTTCCCATAGACATTTCGTCCAGGACTGCAGTACCGATAAAGGTGCTGCGGGTGTGTGAGAGATGGGGGGGGGGCTTACTCAGGGTTGCTGCAGTCTCTGACCGTGCTCTTGGTGCCCCCTCCGCAGGACCGTGAACAGGCGCTGTAGGGCCCCCAGGGGCCCCACATCCCATTCAGGGGCCGCAGATCTGCCTCCTTGCTCACACAGAGCCCGTGTCGGCAGTGCTGGGGAGGGAATGAGCACAACGGCAGGGCATTTACACCCGTGCTGGGGAGGGAGTGACCATATCGTCAGAGTACAGAGGAACACACACACACACACACACACACACACACACACACACACACACACACACACACAGGCATACCTATCTAAATGGGAACTCTCCATTCGTTTCTATGGGAAAACCCCTAATCCCAACAATGACACCCTTAACCCCTACCCAGGCCTAACCTTAACCATAAGTAACCAAACAAAACACAAGACTTTTGGTGTTTTTACTTTCTTGATTGTCATCAGATATGTTTATAAAACGGAGTTTCCCCTGGAGACCAAAAAAATGACATAATAACATAATAACATTTTTATCATAATGTAATGTAAACATGACCCTCCCCACACACACATACACACAAACAGAGTCTCTATCTCTCCCACCGTCCACCAGTGGTTGCAGAATGGGGCACGGAGCCCAGATTGCCGTTTCCCACAAGACTGTTTTTGGGGGTTACAGAGTGTATGGTTATAGAAAAATTCTGATCAAATTTGGGTCATGACTTAATAATCAAGGACAAATGTTGGTCCTGAGGCTAAACAAGTCTACCTGAAAACGTCTGTTTTCCATTATTTCAATTTTAAAATCTTCTCTGAATAAACAAATTAATATGCAATGTTTAAGCAGTGAAATGTGTGTGAGACTGTGCAGAAACCGCAGACGGCATATTACACGCTCGCACACGCGTGTTTGGGATGCACGCCGAGAGCACTGACCCTGCCGTCTGCCCAGCTTAGCACAGGCGTCTGTGATTTATGCGTGTATGAAATGACCCCGGGCTCTAGATGCACGCTCTCTCCTCCTATGTGAACGCCGAGCAGCCGCCGCCCCCCCCCTCACGTTCCTGCACACCCCCCTGGGAGATTTTCACAATCAGCCGGCAAAGTCTAAACGTTCTCCTTGGGGAATGTGGAGCCGGTAGATGGGGAGTGGAGGACTGGAGCGTGCCTGGAGATGTGGGGGGGGGGGGGTAGATCAGTTCTATGTGGGGTCCGTGGCGTGAGCTGGGGTGGGGGGATCCACTCAGTGTTCCCCATGAGGATCCCCAGAACTTTCTGGAATGGAACAAAAGCCATTCACGTGGCTCACTCCTAAACAAACAACCAAAAGACCCGTTACATCGGCATTGGGGGGTGGGGGGGTAAATGGAGCCCTGCTCTGGTTACACACTCCCGCCCACCCCCACCCCCCACTTCCCCTTGTCAGCTGCACCGGTGGTCCTCAATGCTGCATGAATGAACAGTTGCATGGCTGGACCACCAGGGGGCAAGCATGAGCACGAGCTGTCAGCAACAAGGGGGTCAGCTGTCCGTCAGGGACGAGGCCCCCTTTCCCATCAGCTGGGGAATGCCAGGGTGGGGGTGCTGAGGGGGCAGACCGCAGTAAAAGGGACGTGAGGCCTTTTAGCACATTCCTCTCCTGGCCGGCGGGTCCTGCTTATGGTGCCTTTGTTCACTTTGAAAAGGTGAGGCGAAAAGAGCGCAGCAGTGAAAGACCTGCGCTGGCATCACGCCGAGGCTTTTGGTGCCCCTCTTCCTGGAATCTTGAGACGGCCCCCTGGCTGAGAATTCTGGGAGAAATCCCAGGGTACTTTATACATGTGATTCCAATTAGCGACTTTCAACGCAGGCACAAAATAGCTATCTTTTTTTTATCCTAGCCTGCAATCGATATATGCTGCATAACTGAAAAATCCGGGGGTGCCACTCGTTCACTGTCAGTTGGGGCACTGTGAGTGGACAGTGACCTCGCCTCCATTAAATTAAAAACAAAAAAATAAAAATCGTTAGCCCCCACTATGCCCAGTCTAGCCTGCTCAGCCATTCCTGTAATTTCTAAGAAACGTATGTAGTGTCGATAATTTCTCAAAATCATACATTGCCGATAAATGAAAGGGGGGGGGGGGGGGGGGGGAGGATCCACGCAGAAACCACTCAGCCTGTCATTTTAACACTTTCCCACTCTCTGAGGTCCCCAGTAGGTGCCCCTTCCACTGCCCCTTCTGACCAGTGTACTTGATTCTTCTTAATCACAATATCGGATGAAAGTGTGGGACCCATTTTCCAAAAGGACTGGCCGTTAACCATCTGTCATCGTAAGGACGCGGGCGAGGACGTGATTTTCGCTCGAAGCGACTGTACGATCTGGGCGTAACCAGTGCAGCTACAGGCCCAGGATCTCTGAGCTAAGCCAGAATGCTGAAACGCTAATTGTTTTAAATAAAAGAGGGTCTTGCGCTGAGGTAATACTACGTTTGACTTGAGAGGGAGGCTTCGGGTAAAAGTGTCTCTCTGAAGCTCAGGTGCAACACAACACCTGGACATTCTACCTATTCATTTACCCTTAATGACCACTTTGCTCGGGGTACGACAAGCCCAAATGGACACATCAGGCCCGTAGCCAGAAATGATTTTCGAAGGGAGTCTGACAAATTTCAAACTTTATTTCATTATCTGGCTATGTACCTGGTCAGGAGCAAACAATTTTCGGGGGAGGGGTTCAAATCCATTATTTTTGTAGGTGGCTTATGTGCCGGGGATACATTGGATTATTTCCCCAAACTCTGTGCTGCCTGTTTGTCACACGGATGTACAGCATTGAAGGGTCAAAGCCCACAAGACTCTCTAGGCAAGATACACCACCTGCGAAATTGGCGTCATAGGTCGTCTACCCCGTCGCCTAATGGTTTGACCCGCAATGATGATAAAAACAATTTTCTTAAACTATTTTTGCCTGATGCTACTATATCAACTGACTCATACATTTGTTCTGTAATATTTCTATTTACACACCACATGTTAAGAGCATTATGTATATATAAATGGAAAAAAACTGTTGGGTTGCTTAGACAACAAAGTCTGCATGGATTTACATGATGGAAATTAATAATGACATGGTTTCAGGAAACATCTAGAATCTAGAAGGCTCTCATACAATGCTAGTTTGCAAAAAGATTGTCCCAGTGGCATTTAGCTTTTACGTAACATTGAATGCGAACGGCAATTAATTACACATTTGAGGGAAATGGTGTAATGATTCAAAGCTTAAAATGAACTCAGATTTTTTTTGAGCATTACATGGGTCTCTCAGAGTAATTTACTGATCAAAAGACCCCATCAGTTTGGGGGGGGGGTGCAGTATTTAGGGCTACTCCACTTAGAATGAATAAATAAATAAACACAAGGCGATCACATCCTAGCCTCTACGACCCAGCCATGTGTAAGGATGCAGCCCCAGAGCATGTGACACATACAACACGGAACATGCCATTAAGCCCCACATGTGGGGGTGCCCTTAAGACCAACTCGCTGCAGACTCTCCTTACCATCGCAGAGCAGATTTAGGTATGAGAACATGAACATAATTAAGAAGGAGGTTTACACTAAACAAAGCAGCAGCTTCAAAGGACATCCAGATCATTTTCTGTTCTTACAGCGATTCTTCATCCTTCCCATTTCTCCAAAACTTTTTAAAATTAGTCACCAGAGCATTTACTCAATTATGTTTGAGACGCATTCAGATCATGAAGCTGGTTTTCATAGTTTTTAAACATTTCGGACTTTCTGGAGCTCTTTGTCCCAAACTGGGTCAGGAACCTACAGAAAGGAGTTTGTTTATAGACAACAAGCAAGGGGATGCCCTCATTAGGGTATGGTCTCCTGAGTCACATGACAGACATGCCACTGGCGGTCACATGATCACCTCCGGCTACCCAGTCAGGCATTGTCATGCTACGATGGAGGGGGGGGAAACTGGTTCATTGCTGCACGTAGCTACAAGCCAAATTGAGGTAGTGTGTTAAATGAAAATATATCTCGCTTTGTACCCCGCACCTCCGTTCCAGTAAAATCGCCACCATTCCCATACACAAACCCGAGAGAAAACACAGGATCAAACAGCAATGGGACCAGTCCGGAATCCCCCTGGGTTTCCTGGAAGACACAAAAACCATCATTTCCTTTTATTGTTAAGAAATCATACTGTGTGTTGGACCAACTGATGTGTTCAACAGGAGCAATTAAAGCCCCCTGCCCCATTTAAACCCATAAATAATGGGTTTGAACCCCTCTCAAAATTTGATATTGGCAGATTTAAGTGGCCTGATCAACAGCATCACTGACAGTCACCAAAGGTTTGTGTCTCTGCCTTCCAGAATTGTTTGCCAAATAGCTAAAATTCATGCACAATTACTCAATGCAGTATTTACATGTTTATGCTTTATTTATTTAGTAGATGCTTTTATTCAAAGAGATACTTTTTTTTGAGAAAGCTGGTTCAGACAGTCCCTGGGTGTGGGGGGCCCCAAACTGAAACCACTCTGCCAATCCTGGGATTTGAACCAGCGACCTTCTGATCACAGGCAGTGTCATACTGCGGTTCTTTACACAGGTTTACTTGGCACGCCTGTTCGCATGCGTCTCTCACGTGGCACAGACACCCCCCCCGGGCTCGGCGAGGGACGCTTTGCAGACTCCGAAGTCTCCATGTGCCACATGAAAGGGCCCCCGCGGGGCAGGTGAGCTGAGAGTACATCAAAGAGCTCGGGGGCCCAGACAACATCATAACCCCTACCTTAAAGACAAAGGGGGCTGTTTTCCCAGCGCCGGGGCACAGAGCACAAACAGCTCGCTGATAACGTTATCTGCCCTCCGGCAAGGCTGCTCTGAGACGACTGCTACCCCATTCTGTCAGTCTGTGGTACTTCAGGAGGTAGAGGGTTAAGTGGAGTACCACCTTCCTTGGCTGGATCATTGACGCGGGTCCTTTGTGCAAAGTGCGCCTCTCATCCTTCTGCTCCATTAATGCCTGACCTTTGACCTCCGACCCTCTCAGCCACATTCTCAGAGAGGCCTAGGGTCACGGGTTCACCACAAGGTACCTCAACCGCAAAGCCGTGAATTTAACCACACACACACACCCCCCCACCTCGTCTCACCCGAAGAACGTCTCCTTGAAATCACACTTCTCTTTGCCCTTGGGCTCAAAGACAGTCAGGATTCTAACACTGCTTCCCCGAAACCCAAAGCCTTAAACTCCAAATCACCCCTATTGCCCCCTGCCCCAGGGTACGGAGTTAAAATAAATGTTTAAAACTGTCCCTGGACCATAGTGGCCAAATAAAGCAGTAACCAAGGCCAAGAATGTGAATGGGATGTTGAAAAAGGGACCATACATCTTCACTGAGAATACGATGAACAAATACATTTCCATAATTCATTTTTTTCCTTTACGCTGTTGAGGCAATGAGCAAGTTCTGGCCCGTCTCTGTTCTGTGTCGGACTTTCGGGCTGCGTTTTGAAGGTCGTGGGGGAGGAGACCGGAGCATGTTTACAGGAGATCAGTGTCTTTATTCATACCCCCTACCTCGACACCTACAAGCCGGCAGCCGGCTTCCCACACAAAGTCACAGAGGGAGCAAATAATACCTATTATTTGGTAATCAACGAGTCATTCATCTGCCGAGAAAAACAAAAGCTATTTGAGTCTGTGGTGGTGTAGGTTTGTTTCCCATCCCCGGCTCTCTGGTCATGTGGTCTCCTCCCACAGTCCAAAACTCACATGAATTTCTGTCTACAAATTTCCGATAATGTGCAACTTTCAAAAATCGAATTAAAGTTTATTAATCAAATGCACACCGGTACAGCGTAGAGCAGAAGATGCAGGCAATAGTTCATCCCTGAGAGCTCCCTATAGTAAAGAAAATAAAATAAAAGAACTTTTAAAATAAGACGATGAACTAGAACATAAAAGGAATAGAAGTGTGTCCATACTAGTAACCTAATCACTTGTTGAGTAGCCTTACTGCCTGAGAGCGAATGTGTGTAAGTATGGACCCTGTGATGTACTGGTCCAGTGCTCAGAGTGTGAGGTACTTCCTGAGACATTGCATCCCTGCACTAGATAAACCAACGACAAAACACCTCATTGTATCCTCCTGCTTCTAAGACAATAACACCAAAGAAGAATAAGATCCGGCGAGGCGGTCCTACCATTCCGTGGCCGCAGTCGGAGCCGTCGGCCAGGGGCATGTGCTGGGTGCGGCAGCCTTTGTGGTTACCCCCCGCGCTGGTGCACCACAGCCGTTTGCACTGTCTCTGTGGCGGGGGGGGGAGGGGGGTGGAGAGCGGGTGGGAGAAAGAGAGACACACACACGGTTTGAGGTAGAACAGCAACCCTTAGACACTGTTAGATGTCTGATCCTGAGCCAGGCTTCCAAGACACCATATGCAGAGATTCGATCCCGAGTTGGTGGCCACACGCCCCATGCCCAGCACCTCACTTACAGAACCTGGCAGAAGAAAAGCATTCGGGGGTCTCCCTAGTACTAGATTAAGAACATGATCCGTCAATCAGCTTGTTCCGTCCAATGAACCTGAATGTCTGTTCAGGACCCATGTTCCAATCTGGTGATCATAAATCTCCCACATGACTGGGAATGAACCAGGCAAAGGTGAACAGGGTGAAAAAAAGAGGGAAAACAGACAAGAGAAACTCCCCCATTCTAGACCTTTCTAGAACCAGTTTCCTTGGCCACCCCTGATAGCAGAAGTGACCCGACGGCGTTGCTCACCATGTATGGGCAGACCTGGGATCCTGGGCCGAACATGAGCTCGCACTGCTTGTTGGCGCTGTATAGCTGGCCTGGGAGCTGAGGTGGCAAGTGGTAGGATCTGGAAAGTTCCGGCTCATCCAGAAGGCACTCCCCATACCCAGTGCTGAGTGGCAAAACAAAACAAGGTATAAATGCACCTTTTTCAAAGTTACCACAACCTTCTTTCAAGGCCAATGAGCAGAAAAATGAACAAAACTTTTTTTCAACAGAAACCTTCATGTCGGATTGTCTTCTAAGAGCATGACAGATGAACTCAAGTCAAGAGACACAGCAGAGTGTCATCCTCTTACAGCAGTTAAGACTCGTAACTGTGTCCCGCTTGATTACGATCCATCAACTTCAGCTTGGTAGCAGAAGAAGAGAAGATGTTTTAATGTTAATTGTGGCAACGCATCATGCATGATAAGAGTGTTTTTCCTGCATGAGGGAGTTGGACACTTTTGGCTCCTTCAACATGTAGCACCTGTCATATCCCTGCAGTCTCCTCCCTGTCATGGCCCTAACAAGCCATGCCTGTCCCTCGTCGTGCCTCTCGTTCTTAACCCATGACTGGACATCACTCCCACCTGATTCTCATTAGTTCCCTTGTTAGTCCCATATTTATGTGCTTCCCAGGACTGTGTTCCCCAGTCATTGACGCTAAACCCTCTTGTTGCCTGTGCCTTCTTTGGTCCACTCCTCCCATTTTTGATCCCTTGCAATCCTATTTGTTTCCAGTCCCTGTTCATCAAACCTTTGTTTTGCTACCACGCCTGCCCTCGATTCCATCGTCATGACAGCATCTTCTTCTACATGGGTCCCATTTGCTCATCCTTTGAGCTCAGCCTTGACATCTAATAATAAATTGATATTCAGACAAACTAGGACAAAATGGCTAACACTGCCAGCCTGGGTGGTCCGCATTTTTTCCCTAACCGTGAGCCTGAATGGTTGGAGTTCAGGATCTCTGCAGGCATGAAATAAGAGTGAAAAGATGCTGGGGGGGGGAGGGGAGGGGGAGCGTCAGACTGGCCTCGGAGCAGGAAGAAAGCAACCAGCGAGCAGGAGCCACGTAAAAAGGCAGGATTTGGGGCCTGAATCAATCTGCCAGAAAAAGCCGGTGTTTAATTATATCAATCAGTCTGCGCTGTCAGACCTTTTTGTCTGTGGAGATCGCGCTCACCACACCCATCCTCAAAGCCCAAGGCTCCAACAAAGGCGGGGGGTGGGGGGGGGGATCTTCGAGCGGGACGTTTTTCTTATCGGGACAAACCCCAGGTCTGTGACTTTCTAAGAATGGCGTCAGAGGCCAAGAAGCAACGCCCCCCCCCCCCCCAACACTATGTTTGCGGCTTTTGGAGTAGCTTTGGTGTGCAGAACAACGGGGAACAAAAAAAACAGATAAATCAGGGCTTGATAAACGCTTACCCATCTTGTTGGGCCTGTATTCACAATTTGTCCATTTATGAAGACAAGACACCTGCTTTCCAGCCTAGAGGTTGATAGCTGCAGCCAGGAATTATGGCGACTTGACTTTGGTTACAACAGCAACTTCATTTCAGTCAAAACCATAAGGGCTCCTTTGTTTCAAAGACTTTCAGCGAAATATTTCCATTGGGGGGGTCGGTTTTAAAAGATAAAACCTGGGGAACAGCCACTTGCACGGGACGTCTTTCACCGTTTTGTCAACCATTAATTAAAAGGGGCCAACTTCAACTCTCCATTATTAAAAACATGAGTACGATCGGCCGAAAAAGCAGTCATTTGATATTTTAGGTTCTGTCACTAAAAAATGATCTGAGACGCTCTGGACTTGGATGTGCATCAAAACAAGCGGGCGGCTTTTCCTAAGATGCCTCTTTGTACTGTCGTTTTTTTAAGGGCTCTGTATGAAAGCAATTTTGATAATTTCAATTTCAAGCGATTCTGTAATGGGTACCATACGCACCCTGAACCCTGACCAACTGCATGTCGGTCGGCCCTTCCCTCCGGACCGTATGCTCTCCCCATTAAGGAGGGGCACTGCCAGTTAATGCTTATTGTGTCGCTCAGCAGTAAAATAAAACTGAACCGCAGGTAATAAAAGCGGAGTTGCAATGTTAAAACATTCAAATAGATGATTCACTAAAAATATATGGCTCATAATTCAACAGAAGAAACAAATTTTTCAAAAAACAAAAAAGAAAAACACAGAAAAACAAGTTCTCAATGTCTTTGCATTTTCACTTGTGTTTTCTTTGTTCTGTTTGGCACCCCAGGGCCACCGTAACTAACCTGTAGTGGTTCTATGAAATCAAAACAGTAACAATCAAAGATGCACACTCCAGTTTGTCTCCCTGTAAGGCCAGGTTATTTATGGGAAACTTTGTTAAAGTTGGCTAGAAATTCTCTTCAGGGGACCAGTGAAAACACTGATGTACTTGACCAAGTAACCTCTGCCAGGAGAGGAACTGACTTGGTGAATGTGCATCTTTGTCAAATAATCAGGCCCCACAAAGCCGTAGGCTGCAGGCCCAGTGCCACAGGGATCCTGCAAAAGGCCGCGTACCTTTGGTTTCTGGCATTTATTCCAGTCTCATTGTTAAACAAATCAGTTTTTTTTACCCGAAATACAGTGTGAAAAGTTGTCCTATCGCGACTGACATTTTGCTTCCCCCTCTCACAGCTGTGAATCAAATACCCCCCAAAAGGCTGATTATTATTGACTTACGGAGGAACAAGAGGAGTGTTTTAAGCCGACCACTCGAGCCCAAGCTGCCAGCGGAAAATATGTGCGCCGCTACGTCATCGTAAGGAGGCTTTGGAGAGGGCTGACAATGCGGAGGGCGAAGACGTCAACAAGGCGGCCTTTTGTACAGTGGCACAATCAACAAAGCGGGAGGCAGAGATCAAAAGGGTCACGTCCAGGGGAAAGAAACCTAATTATAACTGACATTTCCCATCTTAAAGGGGAAGCCCTCCAGAGAGGCCTGTGGTCACCGTTCGGCTTTGGCCTGAGAGAAGTGTGGTTGCCCCAAGATACTGCCATCGCGGGGAAAGAATGCAGCGGCCGCGGACCGCTTGTCCAGCATCTCGAGAGGCAGCCTGCAAAGCTGGACACTCCTTGAGACAGGAAATGCTCTCTTAATGAGATCAACCGTGGGCCTCTTCAATTCACTTTTCTTTCATTTGTTGCGATGCTTTTAGATCAATACCCATCCATCCATCTTCTATACCGGCTTGTCCTATGCAGGGTCGCGGGGGGTCTGGAGCCTATCCTGGAATTTATGGGGGCAAGGCAGGGAAGAACCCAGGACGGGGGCACCAACCCATCGCTGGGCAACCTCACACACCATTCACTCACCCACACACACCTATGGGCAATTTGGTAACTCCAGTTACCCTCAATTTGACTGTGGGGGGAACCCATGATGACATGGGGAAACATGCAAGCTCCACACACATGGAGACTCGAACCCGGCTCCCAGAGCACCATCCTGCCACCTCACTAGGTCAATATATATTTTAGGCTAATAGAGCAGCTAGAGGACAAATCGAGTCACCACACTGTGGTAGCTTTAAGGAGCGAGGATTCGGCAGGAGACCCAGGAGACGCGTCTCCTGTCCCTGCTCTCACGCACGACACCTACTCGAGGAAGTCGGTGATGTACTTCCGGCTGCACTTGGACCACGTCCAGGGGCTGGTCTCGTCGTTGAGCATGGGGGCCATGACGTGGTACTGCTGTTTCATCCCAGCATCCCTGCACTTCGGATTGTCGTCGTGGGGCATATTGAACCTACATCAAGGAGAAACTTTGGTTACATCAAGCTCAAAATTCGGAAGATCGACATGACATTATGTTTTTTTTTATTAGTATTATTTATCTAACTCAATGGTTCAGTTCTAACACCTGATGTGTGTTTACAAAGTCTACGGTTCAGAAAATCTAACAACAAGCAGGTCGACCCCACTGTCATCTTCCACAGCCCTGAGATTGATCCACTTTACATGCATGTATTTCCCACAATGCAGTGGGCCAGTGGCAGTGGTAAGTTAGCTGTTGCTATGGATACATGGAAGAGCTAGTAATATGACATGAGCCCCTAAACCGGTGTTTCTCAACACAGTCCACATGGTTGCTTTCTCCCAGCTCCCAGCCAATCGAGAACACAGAAAACCTTGTCTATGTGTACTGGAAGCTGGTCTTGGGGTCTACAAGGACTGGGTTGTTCAATGCTGCCCTAAACCAAGCGTTAAATGAGAAAAGGGAGGTTTAATTACAAACAGTGCCGTTCTAAATGTAATGCAGGAAAATAAGGCAAACTGTGCCTGGAAGATAATGACCGAGGAACACAAACCTTTACGATCTTGTGCATTTCATGTCAAATGGGGACAAATGAGTCCTGCTCACAAATGACTTGGCTGTGGCCCAGTAACAGGAACCAAAGTCAGCGGGCGGTGGGGCGCTTGTGAACTGAGGTGAACCAGCTGTTCGGGTCCTGCTCCTAAGTATGGCTCACAGCCCGAATCCCTACAAACATCCAGCAGTGGTCGGGATGTGAACCCATTAGCTCCGTGAGATGGGAATATTCACTGCAGTGACTGTTAGGGGGGGTCACATCAACTTATGGTCTTTTACTGCCTTATATATTTGCTGAAGAAAAAAAACTATATATGTTTTAAAGAAACAGACCTGAATGAATTAAATTAAACTCAAGTCCAGGCCACCCTGTGCAAACAGAGATCTCATTTTACATCTAAGCCAAAAACACATGGTCACTGGCCCAGGCGGAGAATGAGGATCATAAA